ATGTTTGTATAGACTGTATAGGGTCGCCTCTTAGAGAGTACAACACTTAGGTATATCTTTGTGTACTCTCACTCTATCTATTCATTCAATTTTCAATTCTGATATGGTATCACGCGTAGGTAGGATCCCCCCCCACCTATCGCTTCCACTCACCCCTCTAGCCCCTAGCCCAGTCGCGACCCCCCCTAGCCCCGTCGCGCCCCTCACTGGGCCCTGTCGCGCCCCTCCCAGGCCCCCTAGCGCCCCTCCTGGGCCCCGTCGCGCTCCTCCAAGGCCCCGTCGCGCCCCTCCTAGGCCCTGTAGCGCCCTCCTGGGCCTCGTCGCGCCCCTCCCAGGCCCCGTCGCGCCCCTCCTGGGCTCCGTAGCGCCCCTACTGGGCCCCGTCGCGCCCCTCCTGGGCCCCGTAGCGCCCCTCCTGGGCCCCGTCGCACCCTCCCTGGGCCCTGTAGCGCCCCTCCTGGGCCCCGTCGCGCCCCTCCCAGGCCCCGTCGCGCCCCTCCTAGGCCCCTTAGCGCCCCTCCTGGGCCTCGTCGCGCCCCCCCTGGACTTCGTAGCGCCCCTCCTGGGCCCCGTTGCGCCCCTCCTGGGCCCCTGTAGCGCCTCTCCTGGGCCCCCCGTCGTGCCCCTCCTGGGCCCCGTAGCGCCCCTCCTGGGCCGCGTAGTACCCCCCCCCGGTCCCGTCGCCCCTGCCCGACCCCGTCGCAGCCGCCCGGCCCCGTCGCGCCCGCCTGGCGCCGTCGCACCCGCCCGGCCCCGTCGCGCTCGCCCGGCCCCGTCGCAGCCGCCTGGCCCAGTCGCACCCTGCCCGGCCCCGTCGCAGCCGCCCGGCCCCGTCGCACCCGCCCGGCCGCCGTCCCGCTCGCCCGGCCCCGTCGCACCGGCCCGGCCCTGCCGCACTCGCCCGGCCCCGTCGCCCCAGCCCGGCCCCGTCGCGCCCGCTCGGCCCCGTCGCCCCGTCCCGGCCCTGTCGCACCAGCCCGGCCCCGTCACGCCCGCCCGGCCCCGTCGGGCCAGCCCCGGCCCCGTCCTCCTCACTGGTACGGTTCCCCCCCCACCCCGCCCTGCTCCGTGCCGCCTCGCTTCACACTGTACTGCCTGGCAGCGCACTACACCGCACTGCACCGCACTGCACCGCACTGCACTGCACTACACCGCACTGCACCGCACTGTACCGCACTGCACCGCACTGCACCGCACTGCATCGCACTGTACCGCACTAAAACCGCACTATACCGCACTGCACCGCACCCCACTTAGCTGCACTGCCCTGCACCGCACTGGACTGTTCCAGATGGCGGCGGAGCTTCGCTTAAACACTGAAGGTCAGCCCCTAGAGTTCAAGGCGTGGCTTGCCGACCTCCGCCGCCAACTCACTGGCCAGCGGCAGGATGGTGAACCGCTTTCCGCACACCTTGACGGTACGCTCCCCTGCCCAGACCCCCCTGCTATTCTGCCCGCTGACCCCACACCCACTGAGCGTGAGTCTACTGCTGCCACTGCCCGTGCGCGCTCTGTCTGGCTTTCTCGCGATGCTGTCGCCCAGCTTGCCATTAGCAACGCCCTCCCCCCATCTGAGCACCCCTCCGGCTGCCTCGGTGGGTCGCCTGATCCTCCCGATGCTCTTTCCTGACCTTGCATCTTTCCCCACTGTCTCTGACCTCGCTACCCACCTGCGCTCGATAGAGGAGACCTAGCGCGCCGCCTGCACTGACGCACAGCTTAGAGCCCACCAGCCGCCCATTACCTCTACCCTCTACCTGCTTGCCACCCGCCTCCCTGACCACCTTGCTGTCGCCCGCGACCATTTCCTTAGCATTCACCCCGCCGATCTCACCCTCACTGACTTTGTAGACACCCTGACTGTGATAGAGACCCGTCACCGCTCCATCGCCCAGGCGAGCGGTGTCGTGCCGGTCCCTATCTTTCAGGGTTGTGCCCCCGCCCAGTGTACCTTCTCCGACGGCTCTGTCGCAGTGGCTGAGACCGCTGCTGCAGCGCAGTCTCGTTCGGGGAAGGGCCGCCGCCCCAAGGTTGGGCGCGGCGGAGGCGGGGGTGCGGGAGAGGGTAGTGGTGGGGTCGGTTCGTCTGGTGCTGGAGCGGACGAGGGGACCCTGCCCAGTCCGGCTGAGCCGCCGCCCCTGCAGTTGCAGCAGCCGCAGCAGCCGCCGCAGTCGCAGCCTTCGCCGCAGCGGCAGCAGCCGTCGCAGACACGGCAGCCGAGTGTCCTCCCGCCCGGGTGGCCTGGCGCTGGCGGTGGCCGGGCGCGTGGTGGTGTGTCGAGTGGTAGCTCTGGCGGCGGGCGCTGTCAGTACCAGATCCAGACCGGTCCTCGCCGCGGCTTCGTTTGCGGTAAGATCGGTCACTCCACTCCCCGCTGTTTTCGTCGCCTGGACGACCTCTTTCGTCAGCGTTTCGGCCCGTCGCCAGACCTCCCGGACTGGCACAGTTTGCTTAGTCGTAAGATTCAGATCTTTGATATGGACATGGATGCCATTGTTTCTGCTCTGCATGTGATGTATGCTGATGACTCTCGTTCCCCTCCTGTGTCCCCTCCCCTGTCTCCTGACCCGACTCCTCCGTCGCACGTCTGGTCTCACCGCCCCTCCCGTGCTCGTCCTGCCTCGCCTGTCTTGCGCTCCCACCCTATGTTGCTTCGTTCCCACGCGTCTCGCCCTCCCCTTCTGCCGTCGCCTCCTCCGTCCTCCCTTGTTGTTGCACCCCCCCCGCTGTCTGACTACCTTCGTGCCTCTCGTCCTCTTGTTCCTCGGGTCCTTGCCTCTCTCGTTACCGACCCGTCTGTTCCGGTCCCGTGCCTTGACACCCTTGTCGCTGCTGTCGCTGACTTCGCCTCTACCCGCCGCCTTGACTACGCCTCCGCTCTGGTCTCTGACCCTGCCTGTCCTCCGTTTGTCGGGGGTGCTCCTGCCCTTGGCAGTGACGTCCTGGAGGACCGCCAGTTCGAGCTTGCTTTCCTCTCTGAGGCTGCTCCCCATCTCTGTTCCATGCTGCTAGTCCCTGAGGGTGACCCAGACGCTTTCGACATCCCGACCCATCGCACTTACGCTGAGGCGACCTCGGGACCCTGGGCCTCACAGTGGATAGCTGCCATGGAGCAGGAGATGGCATCTTGGAGATCCACCGGCACCTTCGTCGACGCAGTTCCCCCACCTGGGGTGAACGTAGTCGATGGCCGCTGGCTCTTCAAGGTGAAGCGCCCTCCTGGAGAGCCGCCGGTCTTCAAGGCGCGCTATGTGGCTAGAGGCTTCAGTCAGCGCGAGGGGGTGGACTTCTTCCAGACCTTCGCTCCGACCCCGAAGATGACTACTCTTCGGGTTCTGTTACACGTAGCTGCTCAGCGTGACTACGAGCTTCACTCCCTCGACTTCTCCACTGCCTTCCTTCAGGGCAGCCTACACGAGCAGGTCTACCTGCGTCGCCCTCCGGGCTTTACTGGCACCTTCCCTCCTGGTACCCAGTGGCTCCTGCGGCGCCCCGTCTACGGCCTGCGCTAGGCTCCTCGTGAGTGGCACGACACTCTTCGTGCTACCCTTGCTGACCTGCAGTTCTTTCCGTCTTCCGCAGACCCTTCACTCTTCGTTCGTGCTGGCCAGACTCCGTTCTACATCCTTGTTTACGTCGACGACCTGGTCTTTGCCACAGCAGACAGGGACGCACTGGCCTCCGTGAAGGCAGAGCTTCTGAAGAGACACACGTGCACTGACCTTGGAGAACTGCGCCGTTACCTTGGCTTGCAGATCTCCAGGGACAGAGCTGCGCGCACCATCACCCTGACTCAGTCACACTTGGTGCACCAGGTCCTTCAGAGGTTCAGCCTTCAGTTCTCCTCTGCACAGCCCACCCCTCTGCCTGTAGACCACAGACTCTCCGCTCCAGTGTCTGAGGAGTTGGTAGAGCCCAGCGGCCCCTACGCAGAGCTGGTGGGTTGCCTCATGTACCTGATGACTTGCACTCGCCCAGATCTCGCATACCCTCTCAGCATCCTGGCTCGCTTTGTGGCCACAGGCAGACACCGACCGCAGCACTGGTCTGCCGCTAAGAGGGTTCTGCGTTATCTTGCTAGTACATCGGGCATGGGGTTAGTGCTAGGAGGACGCAGGCCAGTGGTCCTTACTGGACACACAGACGCTTCGTGGGCAGATGACGCTGAGACGCTCAGGTCTACCCAGGGCTACTGCTTCAGCCTTGGCTCAGCTGCCGTCGCGTGGAGAGCTACCCGCTCCTCGTCTGTAGCGCAGTCCAGCTGTGAGGCTGAGATCTACGCTGGTGCCATGGCGGCACAGGAGCTCCGCTGGCTGACCTTCTTGCTCACTGACTTAGGTGAGCGGCCTAGCTCTGCCCCGGTCCTGTTCGCTGACAACAGGGCCATGATCCTCCTGTGTCAGGAGCCTCGACTCGAGGGCAGAGCAAAGCACATTCAGCTGCGGTACTTCCTCCTGCGTGAGCTACAGCAGCGACGTCAGGCTCGCGTAGTACACTTGGCCTCAGGTGCCAACACGGCTGATATCTTTACGAAGGCGCTTGCGCCTAAAGATCATCAGCGGCACTGTGTACACCTTGGTCTAGTTCCTGTAGCCTCTCACTTGCTAGGACCTTGACTTTGTACTGTCCTTTATACGTATACTCAGACTGGACTTGTGTCCTCTCGCAGTGGCTGGACTAGTAGTGCCGCCCTGCCCTTGTTCTTGCCTTGTTTGTACTCCTTCTGACTGGTCTCTTAGACCCTTGTCTCAGAGGTTGGACTAGTAGTGCCGCCCTGAGCTGTTTGTTTAGGGCATTCCCCTATGCAGTCTAGGGGGTGTGTCAAACATGTGTATTTATCATGTTTGTATAGACTGTATAGGGTCGCCTCTTAGAGAGTACAACACTTAGGTATATCTTTGTGTACTCTCACTCTATCTATTCATTCAATTTTCAATTCTGATACCTGGAACTTCTGTACTTGACGCCAGTGGAATGAGAACGATGCCATTTGCAGCACAAGTAGCAAGCTTTCTCAATTGCCCATTTGAAATGAAGCACGTCGCCATTGCTACAACGAAAGCAAGCTTTCTCAATAGGACTGTTAACGGGCTGGCAGGGTCTCAAGATGGCCCCAAATGAGCTGGGCTAGTCTTCTTCCACAGGCCCTTGCTACGAGCCAAGGGGCCTCCCTAGCTGGTTGGGGGTGGGGAGGGGAGTCAGGGGACCTCCAAAATACCGTAAAAACCCCTCCAGAAATCGCAAGCAGAGCCTCCTTGAAAAACTCCAAGCATCAGCTGCACGCCAGGCATGTTGTGTCATGTAGCATGCGGCATGCGGATCCTGTACAGTGTGCATCTCCGAGTCGCCAGCATCAGGTGCTGCCAGTGGTGTCACTGTGCATCTCATCGTCGCCCTGCATGTGCCGCTGCCGCCTCATGCCAGCACCCCACGACTCGCCCCTGTCACCGCCTGCCCGCCACTGCTGCGCGCGGGTGTGCCTCAGCCCTGCCAGCTGCTGCTGCCACTGCTCCCGCCATGCCGCCTTCACCTCCAGCTGTTGTGGGCGGGCGTGGGGGCAGGGGGCAGTGGGACTTGCAAGTGAGTGTCGCCTCGAGTGCTGGAGGATTGGGCTAGGTGGCATGGTGATGAACGGAACAACGGCATGCACGCGAGGTACAACTCATGCCAACTGCATGCTTAACGAGAGGAAAAGATGGAGCAGTTAAATAGGGGCAGGCAGAATAAAGGGTGGGTGGCATGTGGGGTTGACAAGAAGCCAGTTGTGGAGGATGAGCTCCTGTGCTGCTGCCACGACCTCGCAGTGTCAGGGACGATGCGAGCAGTGCGGGGCATGCGGGAGGGGTTTGCCGGTGACTCAGCGGCGTGGTGCAGGGAGATGAGGCCCGCTCAGTCAGGGGTCGGCCGTGCGGGGTGCTCACAGTGACGGCAACTGCTCATGACGAGTATGTGTGCTTCGGATTTGCAAGTCAGCATGCGGGCGTATGGAGCTTCCACAATTCGGCTGCGTCTAGTCCTGCCACATGTGGGCGGGCATTGCCAGAATGTGACCTCATGCTGCCGCACCTGGCTCCCGTCCCTCCTGCCTCGCCTCTGCGTGTGTGCGCGCCGCACTGCGTGCCCCGTGCCTCACCTGCTCCTGCAGTGCGTGCCACATCGGCTGCCCCATCCACGGCCGTCGCATCCCATGCCGCCACCGCCTCTCCCCCCCATTGCCCATGCCCATCTCCCCGCCCCTCCTGCTGCGCCCATTCCCCGCATCCGTCACGCGAGGGTGCAGCAGTTGCCGGTCGTACTGCGCGCGCTGCAGCGGGTCCGCCAGCACGGCGTACGCGCGCTGCACGGCGATGAACCGCCGCGTGCTCTCCGCCTCGCCCAGCCCCGCCGCTCGGCTGTCCGGGTGGTACCGCCGCGCCTCGCGCCGATACGCCACCTTGATGTCGTGCATCGACGCGTCGCGCCGCGCCAGCCCCAGCACGTCGTACAGCGACACGCCCGCCGCGGACAGCCCCTCCGCCCACGCCCCAGGCATCCCACCGCGCGGGTCTGACGCGGACGCGCGGGGTGAACGGATGGCCCTCCTCGAGCAGGGACGCGCGAGGATACCGGATAGGCGGAGAAAAGGCGCGACGCTAGGCGGACAGGTGGGCAGTGTGAGTGCAGGGGTAGAGGGCAACTGGCGAGGGCGGAGCGAGGCACGACGCGGGAACGAGAAGGCTATCCGACGAGGACTGGAGTGCGCGCGCGCGCACACATGCAACGGGGTGTTGCGAAACAGAGCAAGGGGCGGCAACGGCTGGAGAGCGGTAGCAGAGAGAGGGCAGTGCGGCGAGCAATGCCCTCTCAACGCCATGGCCTCCAGTGTGCACGTGGTGGATGGGAGTCGATGTAGGCGGGCAATGGCTCCAGCTGCCACTGTGGCACTGCGTCAATCCCTAGCTGATGGGCTCACGGCAGTGACACGAGTTCAGCGTGCTGATCCTTCACGACTTGATGGGAAATTATACGCTGGATAAGCCTTACTGTTTGTTTCCCCGATTTAGTCACACTTACCCCAGCGCAGTCCACCTTTTATAGGTTCAGACTCAGCGGCATCATACTTTTTGTTCAATCTGATGCCGCACAGCAAATATTTTCGCCACGTGTCCCATTTCTGCCAGTGTGCTACCCCCAGCAACACAGACACCAGACTCCCATTTCGGGCCAACTTCGATTTGACTCACAACGTACCAGAGCACGTATTCAATGTGGCTCACTTTGTAATTTAGGGTCGGACACGGCACAAACTTACCACGATACATGCCGAAGTCTTTTCTTCTCATTTGTATGTTACCACCCCAAACAAAACAGAACTTTCGTCACCTCGGTGTCAAAAACTTTTCCGAATAGACTCCGCTAGGGCACATTCTGAGCACGGAAAAGCCTCGGGACATGACTTCGGACCATCCGATATACGGCCAAGATCGCCGTGCTTGAAATTATTTATTTTACAGGCCAAATAAATATGCACTAAAATCGTTCCTCGAGGCTGGGCCTGCGCGTAGAGCAACTCCTAAAATTGCTTTCGAAATCCGCGAGTTTGCTTTATCTACCCCAAAAAAAAGCACAACAATATGAATGAGGAAGAAAGTTTTTTTGGGTTGCAGAGCAACCTATTGCAATCGATCGGGCTGGTTTTTTTTCAAGTTTGTGAAATAAAAATTAAATGTTTGTTGTGATGGAAATAAAACATTTTATGTATAATAAAGTCTCATCATGAAATGCTCCGCAACCCTAAGATGATCTCGTCGCCTCTTGTTTTTTTTTTTTTTTTTTTTTCATGCGAGTGTTTTCCAAAAACAAGTTCGCTTCTACCTCATGATTGGAGTTCGAAGTAGTGTATATTATTCATAGTCCGCATAAATGATATTCATCGAGATTCTAAAACTTGTATCGAACCTTGAAATCACCCTCAGATTTCGTCGACAACGTGTAATGCACCATTCTGCCTGTCGCGTCATTGTACCCGAATTTATTGACAGTTGGTTTCGCGATTGTGACATCGTACCTTTCACATCAAACCTGCAGTCCTCATACGCGCCTCGCAATTTTATATGGGAATCGCAAGACAAATGTGAGAAAGGGTCTGCTTGATTTTGGATTGTAAGTTAAAGATAAGAAGAAAAAGGCTTTGTCATGTAAAGTGGAAAGATTGTGCCGTGTCTTTACGCTAAATTACAAAAGTGAGCCGCATTGAATGCGCGCTCTGGTAATTTGTGAATCAAATTGAAGTTGGCCCGAAATGGGAGTCTGGTGTCTGTGTTCCTGGGGGTAGCACACCGGCAGAAATGGGACACGTGGCGAAAATATTTGTTGTGCGGCATCAGATTGAACAAAAAGTATGATGCCGCTGAGTCTGAACCTATAAAAGGTTGACTGCGCTGGGGTAAGTGTGACTAAATCGGGGAAACAAACAGTAAGGCTTATCCAGCGAATAATTTCCCCGACTTGATGGATGTTGTGTCGTCTGAAGTCGAAATTCCAGAAGCCCAGATCCCAAGTTGCAAGGCGCGAGTTTTTTTGCTCGCAATATCGTAGGTGTAAGGAATTTTCCATTCCTTACCGAGCGGTACTGCTAGCGCGTACGCTCGAACACACCTGAAGCCTCGGGACTGTTCCAGACCTTCTGCCAGAACCGCCTCGGTTTTTCCAGACCTTCCGGTTCGACCTTTGGGAGTTCTCCAGGCCTCGCTTCGTCACTTCGAGACCCTTCGATCTCCTTCCCGAACCTTCCCATCGCATGGTTAGACTAGCTCTGGTGTTCCTATATCTTGGCTTGCCATTCCTTGTATCGTCATTCATTGAGTGAACACTTCGTTATTCATTTCCGCGCTACTCTGCTTGTTCATTCATAACAGTAGGGCAAAAAAGTGGGTAACCCCATGCACCTGGATGAAACTGAACAGTGACACGGTGGCTGTAAAAGGGGGCTCGTGATTGGTCGAAGGCAAGCAAACACCTTCGCCCAAGCAGCCCAACCCCCCAGCTCTCTCTCAACTCAAACAGCTAAGGGAAAGTTGCTATCAATTTTTAAATTGGGACCAAGGCGTGACCGACTAGTGACTAGAAACTAGCCAGCATACGAGGTTTCTCGCACGCGTAGCCAAGCCTAGACAAAACTACGCGCCATAAGGAATGATAGCGATAATGACGCAGATCTCGCGACGACCACCTAAGCATTGCGAACCGCTGATTACAGTTACCGAGGGAGGAAGTGACGCGGGAGCATCGAGAGAGTGACGTGAAAGCAGGGAGAGCGCCGCTGCGAACAGCGAGGGATAGGCACGACAGAGGCCAAGATCACTGGTGGGACGCGATAGGAGCGACCTCGTGGCGTGATAGCAGGGACGGCAGTGACGCGACAGCACGGAGTGACGCGATAGCAGGGACGGAGTGACGCGACAGAACCTACCAAGCGACGCGGAAGCACAGAGTGGCTGAGGCGAAAGCAGGGAGGAAGCAGCGAGGGCAGGGGAGGGAGAGCGGAGTGAGCGCGCGGGAGGGAGAGCGGAGGGAGCGCGCGGGAGAGAGAGCGGAGTGAGCGCGGGAGGGAGAGCAGAGTGAGCGAGCGGGAGGGAGAGCAGAGTGAGCGCGGGAGGGAGAGCAGCGTGAGCGCTCGGGAGGGAGAGCGGCGTGAGGCGCGGGAGGGGGAGCGGCGTGATCGCGCGGGAGGGAGAGCGGCGTGGGAGGGAGGGCGGCGTGAGCGCGGGAGGGAGAGCAGGGGCAGCGGAAGGGGAAAGGGGAAAGGGGTGAGAGAGAAGAGTGACAGCAGGCGAGGGGGAGAGGCGGGAGAGCGAGGGAAGGGGGGAGGGGTGAGAGTGGAGAAAGGGGAGAGGAGAGAGAGCAGGGGAGAGGGAGAGGAGTGCGAGCAGGAGAGGGAGATAGGAGTGAGAGCAACCAGGGAGGGAGGGAGGGAGAGCAGGGGAGGGGAAGAGGAGTGAGGGCAGGGCAGTTCGAGAGGAGGGAGAGCAGGGGAGGGGGAGAGGAGTGAGAGCAGGGGAAGGGAGAAGAGTGAGAGCAGGGGAAGGGGAGAGGAGTGAACGTTGGGACAGGGAAGATGAGAGAGAGCAAGGTAGTGGGATAGGAGTGCGATCAGAGGAGGAAGGGAGGAGTGAGGGCAAGGGAGGGAGAGAGGGAGTGAGAGCAGGGGATGGGGAGAGGAGAGAGAACAGGCAAGGGGGAGAGGAGTGAGAGCAGAGGAGGGGGAGAGGAGTGAGAGCAGGGGAAGGGGAGAGGAGTTTCAATTATGAGTGCACCAGGAGATGCTCTAGGCCCGCTGCATGCCTTCCAGGTGAAGTCAAGGGGCACGTGCCAGGTGAGAACCTCAGAGAAGGCACCCCGCCTGAGAGTTTTGCCACAGTGTAAACGGCACATGTGCATAGTCACACAGCTGCAAAAGATGTGGGCAGGGCAATTCCAGGTTAGCACTCACTCTGCCTGACCTTCCCCACTCTCCCCTTCCCCCCCTCTCACTCTAATAGGAGCACCCCCTTACCTTCCCTTTTCACCCCCTCGTACCCATCTGGAGTACAGTGGACGGGAAAGCTTGCATCCATAGCACTTGTGATGCTGCGGCGTCTCCAACCCCCCATCCCGTCTCCAGCCCCATAAACCATCTCCCACCCCATTGAGCCACTCCATCCTCCCTGTTTCTCTCTCCCTCCCTCCGTGTGTGCGCAGCTGTCGCTGGACATCCCGTTGTCACGCAGAAGAAACTAACTCAAGGTGTTGACAACCCACCCTAGCGGGAGACTGGACAAAGGAAGTTAGAGGAAGGCCCTTGGTGGTTGGAGACAAAGTGGGAAAGGCAATAGGGAGGGGGACACAGGGTGCAGACCAATTGATGGTTGCGGCGGAGAAACAAGGCAGCCAGGAGGCAAACAGTGTTTGGTTGGTAGAGTTGCCGCCGTGCCACAAACACTTAGGCATGGACTGATGATCAGAGTTGTGTCGTGTTTGCGACCAACATTACCTAGAATAGTTGGTCTATTACCGTATTCTCCCGGATATAGTACCCTAGGGAGCTAATAAAAATTCATGAAATTTTTCGGGTGGGTGGAATTAAAGGCCAAAAAAATATACAACCATGGTTCTATGGAACCAGGCCCTAAGATTGGTTTAGGGTCACGCTGATTTATCATCAGGGCTCTCACTAGCCGGGAAAAAACACCCTGATTGCACTGATTTTTCCGGGTATTTATCAGAATTAGAGAAGTGAAATGATCAGTAGAGTGAGAGTACACACAGATATACCTAAGTGTTGTACCCTCTAAGAGGCGACCCTATACAGTCTATACAAACATGACAAATACACATGTTTGACACACCCCCTAGACTGCATAGGGGAATGTCCTAAACAAGCAGCTCAGGGCGGCACTACTAGTCCAACCTCTAAGACAAGGGTCTGAGAGACCAGTCAGAAGGAGTACAGACAAGGCAAGAACAAGAGCAGGGCGGCACTACTAGTCCTGCCACTGGGAGAGGACACAAGTCCAGTCTGAGTATACATATAAAGGACAGTACAAAGTCAAGGTCCTAGCAAGTGAGAGGCTACAGGAACTAGACCAAGCTGTACACAGTGCCGCTGAAGATATCAGCCGTGTTGGCACCTGAGGCCAAGTGTACTACGCGAGCCTGACGTCGCTGCTGTAGCTCACGCAGGAGGAAGTACCGCAGCTGAATGTGCTTCGCTCTGCCCTCGAGTCGAGGCTCCTGACACAGGAGGATCATGGCCCTGTTGTCAGCGAACAGGACCGGGGCAGAGCTAGGCCGCTCACCTAAGTCAGTGAGCAAGAAGGTCAGCCAGCGGAGCTCCTGTGCCGCCATGGCACCAGCGTAGATCTCAGCCTCACAGCTGGACTGCGCAACAGACGAGGAGCGGGTAGCTCTCCACGAGACGGCACCTGAGCC